GTGTATATGACAATTGCGGGTTGAGTGATAAAATTTATGTGACCTCCACATTTCGGCCACTATCACAATCTGGTTATCACAAATTATTTCTATCACTTTCTCAATATGAGTGGAACAATATCTTAAATGAAAGGCAGGTGCAAATGCTTCTTTTCAGTGTTTCTTCGACAAATTCTATAACACGTTTTTAGAAAGCTTTCCTATAAGGAAGGTTAGATCTAGATCATGTGACAATAACTGTACTTGGTTTAACCATTCTCTCAGAAACCTAAGAAGCAAAGTGCAATTATTTAACTGTTTGTATAACAAATACAGGTGCCCCAATTTATACAGCAACAAAAGACATGTGTACAATGCTTATCAAATCGCACTAGAATCTGCTAAAATTGCGGCTAACGATAAATTTATACGTTCTTCGGGAAATTCAATTAAAGCAATGTGGTCGATTATCAATGCATACCGTAATTCTAATATCGTCTATAAATCTGACTTATCAGCAGACGAGTTAGTTTCATACTTTAACAATATCGCAAGTGTTATAGTTGATAACCTACCGCTAACTAACATTGACCCTCTTACCTATTGTGATAGTTCATCTGCTCGTGATAATTGCAAGTTTAAATTCACCAACGTATCCCAAATAAATGTTCGAGAGGTCATAAATACGTTAAAAAACAGTAACTGCAAAGACATCTATGGCTTAAGTGCAAATTTAATCAAAAGAAACTGCTGAAAACTGCTGTTATTATTCCAATACCCAAGAAAAGTAATAAGAATGACATCAGCGCGTACAGGCCTATATCCATTCTTCCCATATTCTCGAAAATATGCGAAAGAATTTTAAATCTTGGAGCACCCCAAGGTTCCGTGTTAGGTCCTACACTGTTCCTTATCTATGTCAACGATATGCCTCTATGTCTCCCCCAGATGTCTCATGTCTACTGTATGCAGATGACGCAACTTTAATTTCCTCTAGCCGTGATGTAGAGAGTGCGTCTAGCAAGGCTAATGCAAGTATGGATTCAATTAATAACTGGTGTTTAGCTAATAAACTTAAACTAAATTCATCAAAAACAGCTGTAATGCATCTTACATTAAAATATGGACAAGATGGTGCAAATTGTAAGACGATATACAATGCAAAGTTTTTGGGTTGTACTATTGATCCTCGTCTAAACTTTAAATCGCACTGCGATGTAATTGCAAAAAGAATTAACCAGTCCATATTTCTATTAAGAAGGCTGGTAAACAATGTATCACATTGGGTTGTTAAAAACGCGTACCATGCTCTTGTACAAAGCACACTGAGCTATGCTCTTTTAGTATGGGGTCAATCGGTTTCATGGCATAATGATATTCAAGCTGCAGCGGAGAGCTATACGTGTAATGAGTGGTCTGGGTTATCGTGAGGATTGTCGTGGAGCCTTCAAAGGACTAAAGTTACTTACGTTGCCGTCACTGTACATTTTAGAAGCTGTATGCTTTATAAAACACAACTTGTTAGCATTCTCACAACAGGGCGGCATGCATACTCATAATACTCGCACTAAACACAAACTTCGTGTTAACTATTGTAAACTTACAGCATCCCAAAAAGGAGCGTATTACAAATCACTAACCCTGTTTAATCTTATTCCTGTTCATATCAAGGAATTACCAAATACCAAATTTAAATGTGTCGTTAAAAAATTCCTAACTGAACATTCTTTTTACACCCTGGATGAATTTGAATCATGTGAAACTTACAAACATGTTAGATGTAAGTTGGTAGTGTGATTTAGTGTTAATGTATTATTGTTTGTTTGTTCTATTTTTGACTTGTTATGTTATATACACTTTTACATGTAAACTTTTTTTGACAATTGTAAGTGCTTTGCACCCTAACATGAACATAAATAAATAAATAAATAAAATAAATAACTGCTCGGCCGCTGACTGTGCTTCGCTGATGCTTCGGTAACTTGTCTCCACGCGAGAGATAGCATCTGTCACAGCGTGTTGTTCTCCAGGCGTGAATTCGAATTGGGCGATAAACTCGAGGTGTCTGATCCGACAACGCCAAGCTTTATAGCAGCGTTGCGTCAGAGGGAAGGTAAGGAGACGATGGGTATGGTGGAAGACCGACCTTCCAAGATTCTCTGGAAGTATTTTATGGCATCGAAAACGGTTAATAATTCGCGCTCGAGGTTACAGTACCGTTGCGTTGTGGCAACCATGAATCACAGAGTTCTTTTGTACAGGGAACATAAAAGACGAAGTGGCGGCATTGAATATTCCATGCTTGCGTCGTTCAAAAGCAACATCAGCTTCGAGTGTCCATTTAAACCTGGACTTCCTTGTTGAGCAACCCTTAAGCAGTTCTAAAAGGGGGACTTGGAGTTCGGCTGAGTGTGGGACACAGCGGCGATAGTAATTGATCGCGCCGAGGAATCGTCCCAGTTGCGAGGGTTCAACAGGCTTAGGTCATGATGGCATGCGTTTTAGTTTGTGGAGGGCGAAAACCCTTCTCGCAAACGTGGTAACCAGCAAAGGTGACTTCAGAAACCCAAACTTGGCACTTGCTCCAATTGGGTAGAAGCTTGGCTGTTAAAGTAGCGTAAGAAGCTGAATTGAGATGTGAGTGAGTGGTTTATAGTCCACTGTAGAAATTGGGCGGCTTTGCGGAGGCCTAGAGGCATTCCAGCGAATTCGTGGAACTCCCGTTTATCAGATATCGTCAGGAGCGACTGGAATCTGGTAGAAAGCTCGATGCAGATCGATGACCGAAAATACTGAACCGCTGGATTTTTGAAGCAAATCTTCAATGATTGGCAGCGGGTAGCAATCTGGCCTTGGGACTCATGTTGTAACGGGATTTCCCTGTACAGAAATTGATAAAGTTGCGTAAGCTATATTTATGTATGCATGTAACCTTGAACGTACGCATATTTGTATTTTAGAATTGGAAGGAAGTTGATATTTGTTTCATGCACTTTGACCCGAATTGGAATACTATTTAACCGTCAGAAAGCTAAAAGAGAATTGGCAATGTAAAGTAATAATCGCGGTTAGAAAGGCAAATTCATTTCACATGTAAATAAATAGGACCGTAAACTCTGCTTTACATATGTATATTCGGGATGAGGTGATTAAATTACCGGCTTTATGGCTCAATGGTAGAGTGTTGGGCTATAAATCCGGAGGTCGGGTGTTCGAACCTGGGTTGAGGTGAATTTTTCATCTGTGGCAGAGATGGAAATTACCTCGGAAATTACCTTAGACCAGTTTCGAGCATTCTGCCGGCTATTCCGAATTAGGTTTTCCTGCAGTTTTCCTAATTCGTCAGGTAAATGCCGGAGTAGTGTAGAACAACTTAAGACCTTCTGCAGAGGCACCTCTAAAAAGCATTACGCGGTCACTCTGTAAATTGGACGCAAGCCTGTTGAGGGCCCAACAAGAGAGGGATAATAAATAAATAAATGAGTCACTATAATGAAATATCGGCAAGGAGAGTCTGTTCAAATGCGTCTATTCAATTCGACTAACAAAAGCTTGTAAAAGAGATGCGCAAACTTTATAAACGTTTCGTCGTAGTAAGATAGGCGGAACTTAAAGGTACCAAGAGGGAGGGTATAAATACACGTGCATTCGTGCTCGAAGGAAGAAATTTTTTCACGAGCAGCTTAGACCGTTACCGAGTGAATCGTCTTCGTGGCGATATATAGAAGAACGAAAAGTATGCAGAGAACGAGAACATAACAAAATTTTAGGTAATAGCTACGCTCCGCACTCAACACGGTGCAATTACCATATAAACTATTTATATACAATTCCATTAAAGACCAAATGGTGAAAAATTCCGACTTTTAGTAATTGAAAAAGTAACTCTTCGACCACGGAGTGGATAAACCACTACCTCAAATTCTTCTTGGACCATACACCAATTTTTTCTGTTGCTCATTTGTACCTTTGTTGGAAAATGCTAGGAGAAAACATAGACAGACAATTTGCAAAACATCTGCAGTCGGCAGTTCTGGGGTTATGAGACGCAAAACTTAATAAAATGGCCTATTTTCTAAATACCAAATGTGCTCCCAGAATATTCGTTCTCGTATTTTTGGTATAGGTACGCCACAACCAGTGCATTTAATAACGATCCACTTGCTAAAAGAATTTTATTTATACAAGAATGTAAGGTGACTAGTTTCGACCAACGGTCATCTTCTGGCTATAATATCGACTGTAGATTTATAAATTTAAAGTGTTTAAAGTACCATACCTTGTGGAAGCTTCATTATGGAGATTACACATTAAAACGGGCATTCTAAAAGTTATATATAATATAAGACATTTTAAAAAACAGACATGTTGAATAAACTATGTTAAGTTATAAGATCTAAATTAGTTTCTACTTACGGGAAAAGAATTAATGCTCTCAAATTTAACTATAACATTATAAACAAGATCGCTTTTAACTATTCTTAATTGATGCGTGACATAATTACTGTTACAATTTCACAAAATTCACTCCATAAATAATAAAGTTGGTTGTACGCATGTGCAACAATTAGAGACGGACGCGTTGAATTTACTTTTATTGGAGGGAACTACTGCTAAAATTTCCCAAAAATTGCTCCACAAATAAGAAAGTTGTATCTAATTGTATGAGATCGCATTTGTATTTTTCCCATTCTCAATCTACAAGAATCCCTGTAACTTTTGTTCTTGTTGATGGGGACATGAATATCAATAGCGTTCTTTCCTAAACTATAAAGAAGTCACAATCTAAAGATCGAACAATCGGCTCAGACGAACGGACGTCGGAAAATAATAAAACTGTAGATAGTTTCTTGCCCTCCGAGTTAGGGTCCGGTCCGAGTCCGGGTTTTACCGCGGTTTTACCCACTATGTCCGGGTCCCCTTAGATTAAGGCATGAAAGTGCAACCATGCAAGCGGCTCGTTACTTTTCAGTACTGCATGGCGAGTTTCTTGTAAAATATTTGGTATTGACAATTCACTATAGTAAATTAGAAGTTTATTTCCAAAATGTTAATTACGAAATAAACTTCATTCTCATCATGTCCTTAATTTGTCTTGTCTCTGTGCTACCTCAAATTAAAGAACTGGTAGACGAATATCACTAAAACCTTAACCGAGACCTTAACCTAATATTTGTTACTTAACGTCGTCACATGGCAAAGATTTCGACTACTAAGTACGAAATTCTCCGAAGAAATAAAAATTTGTTTCTTTAGTGTTTTTTCGTTACATTTATATTACTAGAACTGGTAGTAACACGCTTAGGTTTTCGAGTGACCATGGTGCGTCCTCTGTTGACGGTAAACCTTTTTCTGCAAAGCCCATCCACAGAAACTTCACCCATACCACAATTTGAGCTAGCGCCTATAATATGCCTATTTCCTAACTCTAAAGTTGTCGATTCCATGGGAGTTATTGCTAAAAACACGCACTTATATTACTTTAAAAATTCGATAATCTACTCACTGGACTCTTGACCGGGAAACATAAATCCATCGTCTGCTGATCTTGTCCTTCGCCAATTTGCCACGACCTGAATCGAGGTAAAACAAGCAAGCATGTAGATCACCATAACAAAATACTTGTACATTTTGAACTGTTCACTGTTCAACTACCGATTGCACGATTTATATGTTGTGGTGACCTTTTACTGGCTTTGGGAACGAAGATAAAGCTTGCACAACATGGTATTTCAGTTGCGATAACGATAGCTCACTTATAGTTTTAACTTTCCCAACGTTTCCTTAAACCTTTCTATAGCATTAAGCCTAGTTGTACTTCTAATGAGATTGCTATCAATAAGTGTAGGTTTTGCCTAAAGCACGTAAAATCGGAAATGATGCAAGATATGAAGTAGCGTTATTAAAGAGGGGTGACTCATTTTTATTATTGTATTTTTTTAAAATTAGAAGTACCTAATCGGTCAAAAGATTGCAATGAACCTTCACAGTCATTTCAATAAACATTTTTCAAAGAACGCCGTAGCATAATAAATACAAAATTTAGATGTCAACATTTTCCTGTGCAATTGAATCGTAGAGCACGAAGAACCGGTAGTCGCTGTTTACTATTGAAGAAAAGAGTTTTCTATTTTTGGTATATAGCCATGTTTTAACCATCTTTTTGAATATGTGGTAAGGCTGTACGTTTTTTAATTCCAAAGGTAATATTGCGAGTATCCTCGGGGCCAAATACTTAGCACCAATCGTTTTGCGGGCTCTAGGGTGCAAGATGCAATATTCTCGCCTGATATTGTAGCTATATTCGTAAGTTATTCTGGGAATTCTACATCGTTTTACACGTAATAGTATTTTAAGCAATATAGCCGCCTTAGATCGTACATTTGGGTTTCCCTATATAATTCGTCACGAGATAAACGGATATTCTTTTTGTAAATAATGCGTAGTATCTATTTTTGGATTGCGTGAACTCTATTCAAATAGCAGTCGTATGCTCCTCCCCATCCGATAATTCCATATGATCACAATGATTGTACAAGGGCATAATAGATTTTGATTAGTTGTTAAGATGATCGTAGATAACGAAAAGTAGGTAGAAGATTTATGACTTTATGTGCAGTGTGTCTGGTATGATGGTCCCATCACAGGTGCCGATCTACGGTGATTCCCAGATTTTTAACCGATGTCGCTTCCATAATTGTTACTCCAGATCCCACATTGAAAGGTATTAGGTATGTGATTTTTAGCGCATTTTTGAAAAAAATACGCTATTATATTCGTTATGGCTGGCAGGCCGGCTGTCCGCGTTAGATCTCAACAACTACAATAGCTACAGAATTCAAATTTTCAGTAAAAGCTTTCTGCTATAGTGTAGATGTGCAGGCACTAGTCTATTTTGAGTTAGATTACTTGTGAGATCGATAATTGAAGAAAATAATTTCGATATGGGTTTCGGAGGTGCTATATTTTTACCGTTAGATAGCGCTACCAGTATAAAAACTTATTATTTACTTTGTGATTTGTTTTACAAAATAAAGATGTACCCTCAATTGAAATTAAATAAAATTAATTATTTAACGCAGCCAAAATTATTCGTGAGATCGATAATTTTAAACTTCGCTACTAAAATACTGACCTGCATTATCAAAAATGCGCTTTAATCATGCATACGCTGATTTACAACTTGTTTGTTTATTTAACATTAATTTGTTGTGTCTAAGCCATTGAAGCTATTGAAGTGAACCATCAGATAATGACATTTGGTTTATTTCCAATAAAGGAAATTACTTCTAACAGTAAATTCTTAAATATTTTTGAGTTTTTCAATCACCAAACATATTTTCCACTCCCACAAATCATTGTTTCAGTTTAACTCGAACTGGAACCATATCCACTACTTCCACTACTTCCACTATAATTCACTGTAGATTGTGTGCATTTTTTTGCCAATGACAACAGAAAATACTTCCAAACCCTTCTTATCATAATCGAAAGGCAGTGGCCTACAGTTGCACAAGGCATCGTCCTGTTAGATATTATCTATCGCTTATAAGGAGTTTTCTTTTAAAACGTAATCATACCCAGGACATTAAACAAAGAAAAACATTTTTTGATGAACATTAATTAACAATTAGGCACAGGAATCCATTCTAAATGTCTTAATTTTAAATACAACGTCCTGACTGACATTATTTACACATAGTACATAGGTACCGAGCGATAAGAAGTTATAATGAACCAAGGACAAATCCCAGTTACGTAGAGCGTAGAGATACTCCAGATCTACCGCTTTCCACAGCGTAAATCCAAACACCTACCGCTATTTCATAGCGTATGATCACCACCGTTCCTATAGCGTGGAACTATCACAACTACCTAAACCTCTTATATTCCGAAGAGGGAAGAGAAGCTTGCTCAAGAAGTTCCTTAAACGTTCTCCACTGCCACTGCCAGTATCATCTTTGTCAGCCACTCCAAAAGTCTTCGCAGAGAAGAAGTCCCCTGGAAGCTCGTGCAGTGCCGTACGCAGGAGTCTTTCTCTTCCAGGTCAGCTGACAGGATCCTCGAGGCTTCCCCATTCGTTCATTATTCCGTCGTTTATTTCTACCAAAATGTTCAAGTTGCAATCCTTGTTAACCAAATATCTACTTAGAGACCAAAAATTTATAATTTATAATTGAACTATTCTAGAACGCTCCTAGGCTTTCTATTTGCCGAAGGAGAAAATCTAGCTTTTCCTGTTAAATTTTGTTGTGGGTTGTAAAAGAAAAAGAGCTAATTTTCAAAATGTTATATTAAGGAGTAAACCTAATTTTCTCCCACTACCTATACCTTCTGTACACAATTTTTTCTTATTTAGTTTTGTATGAGTATGCCTATACGTTATTTTGACAAATATTGCCGGCTCAAATTAGATGCCTTGGTATACTGTTTCTACGTTGTATCAAAACTTTTGTTTGAGCTATATTCAGTTTTACCTAAAATAACTAACTACGAAGCTTTGTCAAATATTTGGTTGTTTTTTCATTACACTGATATCACTAGATTAAGTGACCATAGTGCGTCTTCTGTTGTAGTTAAACCTTCGTCTACACATCCCTTCCACATAAACTTCTCCCATACGATACCACAATTTGGGCCAGCGTTTATAATATGATTATTTCCGAACTCAAAGGTTGTGGATTCCATGGGAGTTATGCTAAAAACATCACTAATGTAATCCTTAAAATTCGATAATCTACTCACTGGACGCTTGACCCGGAAATATAACTGATGATCTCGTCCTTCGCCTATTTGACACGACTTGAATCATGGTAAAACAAGCAATCATGTAGATCACCGTAACAAAATACTTGCGCATTTTGAAATGAAGACTGTTCAACTACAGATCGCACCATTTTATATATTTGTGTGACCTTTTTACTATCCTTGGAAAGCTTGCCCAACATTGGATTTCAGTTGCTAACATTCCCAAGGATGATAGTTTTAGTGCAAATGCGACACTTGTTGGTTATCAATTGTGTACGATTGCATTGGGCATGTCAAATGAGAAGGGTTGAAATTTTATACAATTAAATAAAACTTTATTCAGTTTTTTTAGCTATCGATTTCAGGATTTCCCATTGACACTAGTCCTGATGGAAAATCCCGACATCGATCGTCAAAAGCAAAACGGAACTTAGTTAGCAAATAAACGCCAACTTTTTATTTAATTGCATTTAGCCGAAGACTACGGATAAAAATTATGTTAGATTATCAAATAGCTAATTTTTATTATTGTATTCTGTAAACTTAATTAAAGGTAATCGGTCAAAAAAGCTCAATTCACCATCAAAGTCATTACAATAATAATTTTGGTAAAGAATGTTATGATGAATACAAAATTTGGTTTTATTTGCCTTGTAATGTTTCTAAGCCATTCCTGATACATAAATTGGTAACTGGATTGCGAGGTATGATCGATAACTGTACTTTTGGGAGAAGCATTCGGAAATAGTTGGGCCTAGGTAACTAATTGTACAGTGTTAAGCGTAAACAGAAGTATCCACATGCTAAAATCGTCCAAATTTCCGTCTACATTTTCCCTCGACCAGAACTTCATTTTTAGCACAAGCTGTTCCAGCAAACTGGAATAAATTTCTTGGCGCAACTTCTGGATTGTTGAAGTCTGAATACATAAGAAGCAAAATATAAGGTTACTGTAGTTTTATACATACTCATTTGTGATTGCATCTCATCTGGAAAAGAAATTGTATCATCTTCTTCTAAATTTTGACAATTCGCACTCCAAAGAGTAAAAATGGAAAGGAGTATTACAATTTTCGACAACATTGTAGATCAACAACTTTGCAATATTAAAGCAACACTGATTAACTTTAAAATAAGTATAAAATTTTCCTTAACCACGCCTTCGTCGCGATTCACCGCAAAGATCATCTCTGGTCACTCGTTTTCCGGTCTTCAATAAAATTATGACGCGTTTGGCGTGACTTTATCCTATGCTTCATACAAACTCTTTCATCATCAGTCATGATTTAGTATTACTCACACAGATATTTCACCTTTGGGTACAACCATTATAAATTATAACTCGGGTCACTTAACACGCTCGAGGTGACAGAAAAGTATACAGGGTGTAACCGATAAGGATTTAATACAATTTGGCTGTAGAAAAGTATACCGAGGGCCTATATTCAAAGAACGTAAACGAACCTCTTCTTATAACACTTGACTCTGGTACCGGGGCTAGTTTTCATTAACAAGCAAATGTAAAAACTCGAAAAATCTTCACAAATAGCTTTCTTTGTTTTTAACCTAACACTCGGTTATCATTGATAACTCGAATGCAAAAAGTACCAACTCCAAAAACTCAGTTCGGTCCTGGTAGCTTAATTCATTAATCTAGAGGTCGTTAATAATTCAAAAAATATTCAAGTGAAGCAGTTTCCACGGTGGCTTTACCTCATGATGCGGTAACTAATGGAATACTATTATTAAAACGGACGTAATTTGACCCCGATCACCGCTATCTTGACGTCCCAAGTATTTAAAGGACAATAGCTCATTGAACATGAATAGCCAGATGTGACACATTTCGTTAAAATAATGCCATCATTCAGATAAATTCCTTACATGACATTATCATGACCAAAGTTTGTTTGGGAGGACACTGCATAACCTTGGCATTGTCAACAGGAGTTCTACGTTACTTATTTCTGCGGGAAAACTGGAAAAATTTTAATTCAAAATTAAGGCTACCGTCACACCCTTCTCCTTTTAAACTCTTTTCTATTAATTGTTTCACGCTTTCCATAAATCTCTTAGTCTTACGGTTACACTTCGTTGGCGCATTCCCCTTGCTTTCTTCGGAACTATTTAGGCTCTTTTTTACTCCTTCATTCGGCCCTTGTTTCAAGTCTCTTTTTTTCATTATTTTCCTCGTCATACGTCTTTTACACCTCCTTCATTTTTTAAAGTGTCTTCCTCCCCCTGACCTACTCTTCGCTGCGCCTCTGTTCTTTACCCCTCGTTCCATCAGACTGTCGCTTTGTGACTTTACGCTCGTTCATTTTTCAGGCCTCCTTTAAGATCGTCCCCCACAGTTTTCTATTACGCCTACAACTTTCTTCATCCATTATAGTGCTCCATCAGCTTTTACTGCTTATTTTCGCTTTCGAATATACCTCGTCACTCCCATTTTTCCATCGCACTCCCGGCCTCCATCTTTTTTGACTGTTCGAACCTCTCGTCGAACCTTCTTCGCGCTGTCATTACGCCATATCACGTTTAATTCATTTTCGCCACTTTCCTCTTCAATAGCTTTTATCACACTTTTCCTCAAATTTCTTCCACTGTTTTCGCCTTCTTTCTGCACATTTTGTTTCATCATATCTTTCTTTCTTCACGTATCCGTGCGTCATGCCTTCGTCGTGACCACTTTCTTACATTATCGTTTCTTTACGGCTGGTTCGTACTTCCTCTTTGTATGCCTTCTTTCTTCACCTATTTTCACATTTCCTTTAATTCCTCTTAATAATAACTCCCCCCCCCCTGTTTTCTTCGCACATTCTTTCTTAACATCACGGAACGGTTACAAATTAAAGGCTGCTTCGATAATTCAAACCCGTGGAGAGGTGTCAATTTATATTGGTATCTTGTAAAGGGTTGGAGATTTCTTCGACTTGTGATGTTGCTGAAGTATCTTATTGAAGCTTACCTTTTCGTACTTTTACTTCCAGCTAGCAAATGTAACCATAGTTTGACACAGGAAAGAATTTAGTTCAATTCGCTTTCACGGATATCTCAATAATCGTCAATCATTTTTAATCAAAAGTTGGATAAATACTGATTTTGAAATGTATTCTGATATACTCCAATATGTAATTCTCCAAAAGGAAAAACTGTCCCGTAAAACAACGCAAGCTGTTTAAAATGTGTTAGGCGTGAGAAACAAAACGCTGGATTCTTCAAATGTCCATAAGTACGTTTTCTTTATTACAGTGTTGCTATTTTTCGGCGAAGAATATTAGCACTGAATTTCTTCACTTATACTCACTTTTGAAATTCGCTTAGACTATAAGTCTAACCGATTGCTTAAATAATCTAGCGCTAAAATATTTGCACACTCCTCCCTTAAGTGTCCGCTATCAAAGAGGGAATGCTAATAATTCCTTCCCGGCACAGATTAACCATTTAAGTTACACTGTCAGATTCAAATTCTACCCTACTGTAGGAGGTCAAAAGAAAATTATTTTTTTTAGAAACGGTAGATCATTACATCCTTATTGCGAATTTTCAAATCAAATAGTGTATCGCGAAATCCCAAGATCAGACTCTATAAAACAGTGCGGTCGACAGTAAGGTGCAAGAGTGAAATATAGTCTCTTATCAAAACAAAATATCTGGAAATATGGGAAAGGAACGTGCTAGAAAGAATATTTAATGGCAAGAAAGTAGGAGATAGAATATGGGGAAGGAGAACAAATGAAAAGGTGATGGGGATGTATGACCAGCAATCCATATTAGGAGTGATTAAAAACCAAAGAATACGCTGGCTGTACCACATAAGGACGCTAGGAGAGGAACGCGGAGTGCAAAAAAAGAAGAGAAGGGAGGCCGAAAAGGAAATGCATAGACACAATTGTAGCAGAGAAAAGAAATCGGAATCCGCAATTGGAAAAAAGTTGCCATGGACAGGAGGAGGTGGAGAGAGATAACACAAAAGCCCAGGTCCCATTTGCCTTAGTTAGCTTTTTTTTCCTTAGATCCCTCAATTTGACTGTATAAGAAGTACGCCTGAAGTACTCATGTTCATGATGTAAAATTAACACGCACAAACTAAAATTATTATATTAAGCAAAACGGGACATTAAAACTAACGCGAAAAAACACTCATCGAATATTGAAATGTTAGATACGCCCCCAAAATTTATAAAACAGCATGTGTTGCAGAATCTCCAGCTAAGTTCATTTAATTTAATAATTAATTATTTTTTAAGCACTTATTTCCTAGCGTATTTCCTTCATCGTTAGAAAGATGTACTTTTTAACCGTCCAAAAATTCATTATTACATATCCTTGGCAAGGGAATATAAAATTCTCCTCCATGGTGTAAAAATCCAATATGGTACTCATTTAACCAAAGAGATATTAATAACCCAATAACCATGATTTATCAACCGTTTTTGCAACGGAAGACGGATGGCACTGCCTTGCATGGTAATAGTAAGTGATTGTAAGGATTTTTGATCATTTTCTGGTATACCCAATGAATGTCACCTTTTTCTTTTAAACCAATATATAACTTTACCTACAATCTTGTAGGAAAAAGGTGCTTGTCATTTTCATTTATATGGGGTATCCAAATCTTCCCAACTTCGATTGCAATAGGTATAAACAATTAACTTTTATTAGAAATGGGCACTTTTCAGTTTTTTTGATATAACCGTTAATCTGGTCCATTTTTTTTTAATTTTCTGAACCGAGTTTTAATCACCACACAAAGCTGCCAGATTATGCCCAGGATATTGACTCCGGCTGCGCAAATTCCTGATCAATAAATTAAACAACTTCACAAATGACTACATTGTATGGTGCCAATGGAATGAATCGTTCAAGAACTTCCCAAATCTGTGCTACCAGCAGGGTGTGGAAGGATGGGTGGTAGGGGTTATAGTTTGCCAAATAATTGTATGGATAACTTGCCTTTTGGTTACACTGTCACAATGTAATATTTTTGATTTTCTTTCTTCATAGATTTCCCATTCTGAACCGAATCGCATCTACCAATCCCCAAGGCTATCAATGACCCGCAGTAAATGGTACTAAAGGTCCCGCTCTATACTGTTAAATCATCGTTACTAGGACTTTATTTGTAAAATAATGAGTATCAAAGTGTTTTTATGGTACAGCAAGATACGGTTTAATATCCTTTTAATTTAGCGAAAAGGCGATCTTCAATATTCCATCACGGTGCCAACGTCAACCACATTGGTGTTGCATTTGAGAACATATCTACTCTCCATAAATTATCATTCAATGGAAACGGTTAGAACCTCGGAAATTTCCTTCTGCAACGTCCACCCACGAGAGCTTCATTATTTCCACAACGGCCGGTATACCGGAACATATTCCGGTATATAAGGTACATACCGTTACTTTCAGGTATATTAGTAGCTATGTAGGGAAAACAGTAATAAGCAAAAAGTTGAAGTTTTGTTTTCCAATACACACCTGATCGAGATTGCAACTCATCTGGAAACGATATTGTATCATCCTCCTCTTCTGATAATCGCCCGTTAACAGCTACCCCACAGTTTACGTATAGCACAACGAAGCACAACAGAAAAACCACAAATTTAAGCAACATTTTCAAAGGGATGGATATCTCAGGGATCAACTTATCACAAGACTACTGCAATGAACTAATTTATATCGCACGCGACATGTCATTTTGTAGATGAATTGCACTCCAAATTTCCCGTTTACCTAATTCAAAACTACGTCGGAATTTTGCGGGTAAACCTGCTTCCATAAATTAATAATAAGTTGACCTTTGTGTGATTCGGCGCTGATATTGCATGAGATAATCTCATTTACAAAATTAGCATAATTGAAAGGCAAACTTCCCAGTTTGGTCACAGTGAGCTACTTTTATACGTCTTTCATTGATAAGATAAGAGACCACTAGTAGACTACTCACATCCTGAAACTGTTACGAATGGTTTCGGAAACTTTATTGTTTCGTTAATAGGCGTGGTAAGAAAAATCGAATTTGCAACAAAATTTAAAGAAAATTCCAAGCCTCGATTGAGTGATTGTAGGTACGCAATCATCTTCGTACTTTAAACACTGCCAAATTCAGGTGATTTGTTCGATTTTTTTAGTGAATTCTACTATGCGTTTTATGTACCTATACGGGATGTAACAATTAAGTATGTCAAAAAAAGTTGGGATACTTTTTTTCCTTTTCTCCTCAACAACTCCCAAACTTTGGGTTTGTTCTTTAATTTTTCCTGAGGAAACCAGAACACGTAAATAGTCAGAACTAACTAGGCTTTTGGTACTTTCTGGGTCAAAAATTCCAAATTACCTACCTCCTAAATGTGCGTGCGAAGAAGATGCCTCTCGACGAAATTTGGCATCTGAGTGTATTGCAACATCGGATCTAAAAGCAGTTTTGAGATTCGGAAAAAAATGTTGAATTGAAATTCATTGCCAGGCAACAAAACTGGTAAAAAGTTTGGTGGGTACACTCTTTATTAAGAACAACACTTTTTACATGCGTTTTTTCAAAAAAGATTTCGCATTTTGCAGTCATATACTATGGCGGATACAAACACTTTTTTCATTTACTTTTGTCAAAAAATAACTACTAACTCTAGAAACTGATATTCACACCGCCAAGGAAATAGTAAAAACTTACATAAACAAATATTTTCTAATATTTATTTTTTATTTATTTATTTATTGTCCCTCTCTTGTTCTGGGCCCTCAACAGGCTTGCGCCCAACTACGGAGTAACCAGCATAATGATTTTTTGAGGTGCTTCTGCAGAAGAACAAATTAGTCAGTTATATCGTAGGTAGAGAATGGTTCCCGTCAAATCTAAAAAGTGCATTGGTTTTTTGCATTATATATTTATTACATAAACCAGATCGTGAAAGATTTTAAGAATTCTTGCTGAAACCAGTCAAAGTCAACGTACGCAGTTCGTCTGCAAGTGTCCAACAACGATTCCGCTATTTTGTACATGCAAAAACGTGACAACGTTCGGAAATTCACTAAAAGAACCCTATGGCAGAAACTTTACATCTGGTACCTTTTGTCGATTGCAATATGGTGGATTTAGAGTAAAACACCCTTTGTATATTAGAAGAAGCGTTTATTTAAATTATTACAACATTACAGTAATTTTCTGAAAAAATTTAAATTATGCAGCTACTTTTCGGCACCTTCCCGTCATGGTAGCTCTCTCACCTTTCTCGCAAACTTTTTCTACTGAAATTAATCTTCTTGTTTTAACACCCGCGTAGGGGTCTTCTATCAGATTCTCCTGCAAGTCACCTACAGAAAGACGAATATATTCTCGTACCTAAAGCTACCTGTACTGTTCACCTTTTGAAGTATCACTAATCGATTTTTTTTCTTCCACACTGCCTTGATCTGCAATCACATACCAATGCACAAGGCTAAGCACAAAGAAAATCAGGAGAGCTTTCATTTTTATGTTTTTATGTGCGACGACAAAGCACGCAATACGTTTAGTAATTTGGTTTATTTAAGTAATGCTTATCATTTTCAGATAAATAAAATTGATATTCACAATCTTATTTATTTGGTCCAGTGGTTTAAAATAACAGGTCACTTGATTGGTCATTCAAGATTGAAGTCAGGTGGATTTTGAAAGCAGCAGTTAATCATTGTAAAAGCAGAAGCAGAAATAAGCGTTTACAGTGGTCATTAAACCAACCGGATGCAGCATCAAGTGCTTCTTTAGAACTTCTGCTTTTAGTATGTGATTGGTCGATCTTTCCTCAGACCGACACGTGGCTTACATAAAATCAGTTTCACAGTGTGCCTAAAATGATGTGTAGCCGTGTAGGTAACATAAAACTAAGAAAATAAGAAAATTTATTTTTTTTTTAATCAACACAAGCATTGGATCAGTCTACGTCATCGCGGGTGGACTATCAGTGTTGAGACGTACATCAATGTCATAAACAGGGTCGGCGGTTGTGGCTAAAAAAATGATTCTATCTTAGTTGATAACGCATGAAGTCTAACCTGATCCCGATCTCGCATTCTTGAACGTGATAAAATCCCACACCGTTTTCGCAACTTCCTTTATCTTTATGAATACACCGGTGCATTCGGATGGAACAAAATTAATCACCAAAAAGATGAAGAATATTGCAAACACTTTCTTGTTCATTTTGAAGTATGAAGATCTCTACCATCGGAGCAGATTGACACAAACTAACAATAATTAGTTCTGCACTTATCAGTTATCTGGTAGGGTTCACAAGTCAACCTTCTTGCTTAACACGCATTTTTGGAACACAAACATACTGTACAAACAGTTCGTAATTATTCAACTGAGAAGGTGGGAAACATTTACCGGACACCTAATGGAGAACCTACTAATTTATTTATATTCGAGTTTGAATTTTGCTTTGAACGTTTTTGGGCATAAGGTCTCGAAAATGTTGAGCTATACTTCCAACTTGGTTGTATAGCACCAAGCAAATCCCGTTTGCTTCCATAGAATCGCTGACAGTGTTAGTTGTGTGAGGTTTAGGTCATTACTTTGAACCATCTTATCCTGTGGTCTCTCTCTTTGTCTGAGTGTGGAAATTATGAATGTATCTGCCGACGTGTCAAAATTGATAATGCAGATATCTCTAGAACGAGAAAAGATGCCGTCAAAAGCTAGACAATCGTTGCACTAAGTATACAGTTGCGTTATTGCAAGAATCAAAACAAGCATGTTTACAAATATTCCTCTAAAATCTCATTGCTTCTTTAATTTTTTCTGAGTAACTATACCACTTGATGGGATGAAATTTATGTAGGTACCTATTCCTTTTCTGACTACAAATTTTTTTTCAAAATCTGTACTAACGTATTCATTTTTGAAAATTCAACAAACTGATCTTAATCGCAAGCTTGGCCGGGCCACAAAAATAGCCAGAATTGAATGATATTTGATGGACGTCATTTGTGATATGGGAGAACAATTTAAATTGAGTCGATTGGGATCATGTATATTTAGGTCCACACAAAGAACGCAAAGCAGAAGCATGACTTTAGAGACTTTTTTCCACAATACTTAATTAATGCCATGTTTTGCTCTC